CGTGAGGAAAACGAAGAGTTGGGTTGTTACGACACCGATAAGGACCGATTTTTCATCAGTAGGATGCTCGCTGCCGGTCGCAGGATTTTTGCGCTGCTCAATTTCAACCTGAGCCCTGTTCTCCGTATACGTCTCTGCCTTCTGGGGCTCATGCGGGAATAGAGATTTACCCTTCGATCAGAGGAGCGACGATTTGAGCCCGCGGGGCACGTGGATTCGACAGCTTTTGCTCCAGGCACGAGTCTTTTGATAAGCTGACGAGGTCTATCCAAACATGTGAATTCTAATTAAAATAATGAGCGTTTAACGGAATGTCTGAAGGAGCGAAACCGAGAGGCCAATACGGAAAAGAGCCTTAAATGCATTAGGACGTATTTCTGCCAAATGGAACTATGTGCATTATGACGTGAGCCCTGTTATTCATATATTCTCATAGATCTCAGGGCTCATGCCTTAAAGCACATAGTTCCGTTTGGCAGAAATACGTCCATTTCTGCATGAGCCGTGGTTAGCCTGTGCTCTAATGTGTCTGGAGGATTATTCCAGACTCTGCTGTGCTAGGGAAGAACACCGTAAGAGCCATCAGACGCTGCCAAATTCCCTTCGACAAATCGCGAATTTACAGGAAAATTTGTGAACATTTCTTTTCCGGTTTTTCTGAGAATATCGTTCGATATTTGATCTATAAAGCCTGAGAATTTCAAGGAAAAATATTCAGTAAGTTGGAATTTTTAGCCAACGTGCGTTAACATTCAGCGTAAAGCTGAAAATCTCAATACAGAGGGAAAACGCTCACATGAGCACAATTTTCCCTCGAAGAGATACGCTGTTTGGTGCAACACTAGTAACGCACAATCAGGAAGGCAACTGCAAAACAAATCAGTTGGTGAAAAATATTCATTGCTTTTTTCAAAATTTAATATTTTCTGAGTAGTGGCAACATTCGAATGCTCATAGGACGTTTTCAAACAGCACGGTAGGGCTGCACTTACGACTCTTTTGCGTAATGAGTAGGAGCGGCGCGGCGGCGGCGCAACGACACTGCGGGCTCCGGTGGCGGAAAACGCGACAGGTCTTTCGTGACGGGGACGTACGGCGGCGGTGCGGGCGGGTCGCCGATGGTGAGAGGTGAGGGGCCACGGCCGTCCCCCCTCCCCCCCCCCACTTTTCCCGACGAGAAGCTTTGCTGCATGTGACAAAACCACGTTGCCAACCAAGGCAATCAGTAATGGTCTCCTGATAGAGGCTATTATTTGTAGCTTTACGTATCCCGGATATCCAACCTTCGATAGGCATTGATTTGCTCTCATTGATCGCCTCTTGAAAACATTTTGAGTGTTTGTTTGGATTCAATTCAATACAATTTCCAGTGTGTCGAATCGGATATTCCAAACATACAGTTGGTACATACAGGCACTGCAGACTATTATTTTATCCCTTTGCACTTTACTCTGTCCAACTCTAGTAATTATTTGACAGATGTACACGGATGTTTACAGATGTTTCATTTACACGGTTTAAAAAGTTTGTCATGTGACAACGGGAAAGTCTTCAGTGCTCTTGCTAGGCGAGCGGTATTACTTTATTGTAAACACTTAATTAGTTTATTTCAAAACTCCCAGTGGTGTGACTCGTTCATTTCGTCAAATTTTGGAAAGAAAACACGCTGTGTAGTCTTTTAATTGGACTGTATTTTGCGATCGAGGAAGAAAAGTTGAGTTATTGGTGCGGTGACCCACTGACCATTTTTTTTGATCAACAGGTTATCAGCAACGAACAACCCACATGTTAGCATCGATCGCTGGTGGAAAGGTCAATGACCCTGTCCCTTAAACTCAAGTACTTTCACCTTGTGACCTACTGACTGACAAGGGGAGTCTACGAAGTGACATCCTGGGATTGGGTTCATTTTGCTTGTACATGAAGAAGAGACAAATCTAAGGTTGACGTATTTTTTTTTAGCCGCCAACTCCCAACCGTTCTCGAGCTATCGATTTTTAAAGTTACGATTTTTGCACGTTTCCGCGCGGAGTTCCGGCGAGTCAACTGAGCGCCGGCAAGCTGCACGAAGCGTGTTTCCTATCAGCGCTGCAGACCGGCCATCGCTATCAACAGTTCCGTGGCCGAGTGGTAGAGTCTTCGCCTGCGGTTCCATCGATCGCGGGTTCGTAACCCGCTTCGTGTCGTAGCTTTCAGGGTACGCCGCAATGCGTTTTTACAAGTTTTCTTTATTTTTATCACACACCAAGGGGTCCGCCCCCTGGCCACTGCTCGGCCCAACCCCCGGGGCGAAAAGGCGCGCTTCGCGGCTAGCGAAATCATCGAAATCGACCGTTGACGGTTACTGGGTAAATAATTTTAATTGAATGATTTTAATGAAATGATTGAATAAAAATTGAATGATTTGAATGTTTCAAATAAAAATTTCCCACCACACAATATTCTTAATGACTTTTTCCTTACTCTGAATTTGCTACCGTCAACGGTCGATTTCGATGATTTCGCTAGCCGCGAAGCGCGCCTTTTCGCCCCGGGGGTTGGGCCGAGCAGTGGCCAGGGGGCGGACCCCTTGGTGTGTGATAAAAATAAAGAAAACTTGTAAAAACGCATTGCGGCGTACCCTGAAAGCTACGGCACGAAGCGGGTTACGAACCCGCGATCGATGAAACCGCAGGCGAAGACTCTACCACTCGGCCACGGAACTGTTGATAGCGATGGCCGGTCTGCAGCGCTGATAGGAAACACGCTTCGTGCAGCTTGCCGGCGCTCAGTTGACTCGCCGGAACTCCGCGCGGAAACGTGCAAAAATCGTAACTTTAAAAATCGATAGCTCGAGAACGGTTGGGAGTTGGCGGCTAAAAAAAAATACGTCAACCTTAGATTTGTCTCTTCTTCATGTACAAGCAAAATGAACCCAATCCCAGGATGTCACTTCGTAGACTCCCCTTGTGAGTTTAGAGTTCATTCGCCCTCCTGTTCCTGTTGAAAAACAATTTTAAGATGATCGGTCCGGTAACTTACTAATAATAATTGTCACGGTCGGATCAATGGGTCAATGTACCGAAGTGCAACCTGAATAATAGGTCAAGAGTTTCCCATAATTCATGAATTTCGCCCTTGTGCCGCTACTCTGTTGATCAAAAAAAATGGTCAGTGGGTCACCGCACCAATAACTCAACTTTTCTTCCAAGAGAAACTGAAAGGGGNGGGGGACGGTCTTTGGGTCACGGGGTCAGTCCCGCTCGATAGGTCTTTCACGAAGTATGAATTGGACCACATTTTGCAATTAGTAAAATCAAGCTCTAGCTCATTTCAGGAACAACGTATATGCCATTAGTTTTCCAATGCAGATGGGCGTTTTTATGTATGAGCTAGAAATTGCAGTTCCTGATCGCAAAATACAGTCCAATTAAAAGACTACACAGCGTGTTTTCTTTCCAAAATTTGTGTCACGCATTCCGGAGAGTTCAAATAGTTGTATCATTGCGCCGTAAGAATGTAACGGAAGATTTAAATGGAAATAGCTTCCACGCACGCTGGGCTTGTCGATTTCCGTTAACATTTTTGCAGTCGTGAATGCATAACTTAAGTGCACTCCAGCCAGAAGTGTATTCATGCAAACGAGTAGTTTCTATAGGATGATTGAAAACGAACAAATGGTAGGAAATAAAACATAATAATAGGAACTTTGCAAAACGATAATCCGGGTATCGGAACTCGGCTGTTTTGAAAACGCCTTCAAATGCGGCGTGATACCTCACGCATTCCGGAGAGTTCAAATAGTTGTATCATTGCGCCTTAGAAATGCGATGGAAGATTTCAATTTATTGTTTTTAGCAAGAAAATTGGAATAAGTAATTGCAATTTGTTTTGCTTGCATTGCAAAGAGTTTACCTTTCTCACACTTGGAACACATTTTATTCATGACTACACATTTTATTTCAGTCATTTTATTGATCATGTTATGTAAAAATATATCGAATTTTTATAATGTGCGGTAAAAAATTGCAAAATTACCTCAATATGTTCGTTGAACTGTGCTATTTGGGTTTTAGTCCAAAATGTGAAGAATCAGTCAAGAATACCTATGTTGTCTAACTCTCCAAAAATATCTTGTTTTTTTCTTTTCTTTTTTCTCAGGTAGGTAAGAAACATAGAAACTGAGCACAAAATTACGGGCATAAGGCTGATTCACATTATACCACGGGCTTAGCTGATGGAGAGATGGGGCGGACTAGAAACCCCTTGTCCATCCCCAGAAAATCTGAGGAGTTTTGCGGATTATTTAAAGAATAAGTGCGTGGCATATCTGTCATATTTGAAACTGTATTACAAAGTTTTCGGTAAGAACAGCAATAGCTCAAGATTGCTTAAACGTTTCAATTTTCAAGATTTTCTCAGAGAGGCCCCTTGAACGTCTTTTGCGAAGCTGGACACCCCCCCCTACCCCTCTGATTTAGTGTCCTTTAGTGTCTGCCCATCTTTAAACAAATTTTGGTTTCGCCGCCTTTCATTCAACGCATAGACCAAGAGCAATATTTGCCTAATAGTTTAGTGCAAAGCAAAAGACATTTCTTTTTTAAAGGGATATGGTTAGATAATTACAGTGCGCCATTACGTAGTACGAAAGTTACAATTATTAAATCAAAAGTCAGTCCGCTTCGCTTCTAGACAAGAAGAACCAATAGGTACGACTGGCACGCCCAATACCGCGACGCACGACCGATTTGAATTTCGCGCCATTTTGTCATTCTGTATTTCATGTTGTCCCACTGACTAAACTAAAAACAATTGTTGGTTTTTATCGTTAAAATGTTTTTACCATAAATGCATCATGAAAGAGATAATTTCTTGTGAAAATATTATGAACTCTTAGATATAATGTGATTACTCTATGAAATGAGCATCTTGTAAATATACAACTCGGCTTTCACTTTTCTTGTGGGAAATCTATTATTTCGCTCTTGATATTTATTTTTGCATCACTGTTATCATTTCCCATCGCATCATCTGATGTTATCACCTAATTCGGCCCCTCCTTGTGTCACATTTTATCAAATCCCAATTTTCTTCTAATTTTTAGCTAAAAATGAGGAATCTAGTGACGTGTTCTGTACTTTGGCTCCTTGTAAATGTTTTAAGTAGTGCTATATCCGAAAGTAGTGTCCCAGTTCTTCTCTGGGAATCCAAAAACTCAGGTGACCATTTTCACACCGTTCCAGCCCTTGCTGAATATGACAGGGATGAATTTCTCAATCATTTCTTAAAGAAAATTAAAAACTCTCATTCAAAACCTCTCATTGTGGCGTTTTTGGAAGACACGTTGAGTTTGGAAGACTTCAGTTGGCAAGATTCCAGCAAGAAACAAGCATTCGAAAAAATCCAGAAGTTGGTGGACCAGTCAAATGGCATTGAATTCCTCCCTGCTGTGAAATCTGTTGACGATGCACTCCAAAAGTTGGAAGGCTACGGTTACAGCCAGAAAAACTTTAAGGACCTCCAGGGTGATGAAGAAGGTGTCTTCAGTTTTGTCAGATTTGATGATGGAGATCGCATGGATGAAGATCGTCCAGACATGTTGAATCGTCATGATGAACTCATAGCTGAAGCTGTGAAGAAACTATCCAGCTCACAACGAAACTGCATTTTCGTTTTGTCCGGGAAAGAGCCCTCTTGGATTGAGCCGCAGATCTCGGAATCATTAGCCAGAATGCGCAGAGCGCTGCAAGCAGTTGAATCAAATGGCACCGTTGCAGACAAGGGGCAAGGGCCTTTCCTCTTCAACGCCTCCGGACAAGTTCTTTTGCAGACCCAAGAGGCCCCTGTTCTGATTGTTGACGGAGAAAAAGTTGTACTGCCTCCCACACATGATGTAAGTTCACGCCGCATTTTACACCAGTGTAGTAAACATAACTAGTGAAGCAAATATGGGCGCATGAGTCCTACAGACAGTAGGGTTTCTTGCAGATTTATACATAGTTTTTGAATGAAGTAGAGTCATTAATTCTCTCATTTTATGAAGAAATCTTATTTCTCATGCATTTTCTGTTTTTGAGACTGTTCGGTGGACATGCACTTATAACACAATCTAGACTGCTCACTAGGCCCAACTTTAGGCGGGGGAGGTAAGACAGCTAGTGGGGTAAATCAGGGTAAAGACGCGCCTTCAGCTTAGTTGATACAGCCGAATATATGAACAAAGTGTACCAGGCAACGACTAACGGCACTGGCAAGACAGGTATTTCCATCTACTCGGTACATATTGCTGGTACACTTGCTGGGTTGCCTATCGTCTTGCCTGAAGGAACTCTATCCTCGCCGAAATTTCCTAATGCGCGGTCTAGATTGTATTATACGTCATTGTTGGTGGATCACCGGTTGTGACACGTCAGGAAGGCAACAGCAGGGACTTTTTGTATCTAATCAAACCCATCATCAGCATAGCGCAACTTGCTGTAATCGTCTGCGTCCTCTCTGAGTTCATTTATGAAATTCTAAAGGAGCAAGAAAGAGAGACAATGGGTCAAACTAGGTTTAAAACAGTTTGCAGGTTCTCTTCTGACTAGTGGTGCCTGATGTGCTCTAAACAGCTAACTGCCACTCCTTGCCAAGTGTCCAAACTTTCTGATTTTTTACTGAATAAGCGCACCTTTGCCAAAATCAATATCTGTCTGTTTTGCTAGTGCCAATATTTACAACCATTCTGCTGCTGTTCTAGCTTTCTTACACGGTTGACTGATCTTGTTTTTATATCCCATAATGTCAGAGGTGTCATCAGACAAGTTGACATTTATTTAGTTTTGATTTGCAGGCGTAATCGCGTCACCACTATCCCCATGAAATCGTTTGACTCGCACAGAAGCGAAAACACAAAGCTTGGACTTCAAGGTCTTATAATATTTTTATAATAGGTTTTATAATACTTTCAAACCTTATAACTTGTTAATTTTTAGCCATTCAGTAATCATAACCACATAAAAGTCATGGATCATAGGTAAGTAACTGAAGAGTAGTTTTTTTGTGATACGATCATGAGACGGATGTTCTTAAGGTGGGTAGTAGTGACCAACGCTTTGTGCAGAGGCGTAAATTTGTTGCCTGCGCCTTCTAATCAAAAGTAAACAAATGTCAACTTATCTGAGGACACCTCTACTCTAATGTTTTGTTGGTTTCAATTTGCAGATACTTAAGTGTAATTTGGTTCATACGTTTTAACATTAGAGAAGATTAGTATGAATTTCCTGGTTAATCAAGGTCTTCAGAACTGAGTAGAATCAGAAATGAATACCCCCTTTCAGTAGCCCACATAATGGCTAGCGCTGTATGCTTGGTGGTTATAAATAGAAATCACCATCAAGTAATGTCTCCAAGCCTAGAATTTTACTTAATTAGGTACCGTAACCATGATACCTAGATATGTTGTACTTACCTAATCCTGCATCGGTTTTTTCCCTCTAGGATCAGCTAGATACTCGACCGGATACACTTCGTTTGATTTCAACCTTCAAAGGAACTGACAATGGAAAGAAACTCGTGCTTCGCTTCATTTTCAAGCTATCATCTAATGTTTGGACGCTCACCTCTGTTGATTATACTTATGACAATAAGGATGGTTCACTCACCCCTACAACCCCCATAAGAGCTGGAAAAGGTTTTGCATATCTGGATATCAGCCCTCATACGTTTACTAATGAAGACAAATCCATCACACTCAGCTTCAAAAATCTGAAGGTTCGTAGAAGTTTTCTAAAGCTCATGTTTAATGAAAGTACCTGATTAGCAAGAAAGGTAACACAAAGGAGATTTTGGGTCCAAAAAAGATGATGAAGTCAGCAGGGAGAAAATATTAATATTAAAATGATTAAAGAAAGTACAATCGGACCGGTTTCAAGAGCTCATCATCAGCAATCACAGACATGATGATCACTAATGATCTGACAAATTACTCAAAACCGGTCCGATTTTAGCATTTTATTCATGTGCAAGGGAGTTACCATTTTAAGAATTTTAATGATTTCAATATTCTAATCTTGGGCTGTCGTTTTACATTGTACGGTATGAAGAACATTAAGTATACACATCTAGCCTTTCCAAAAGCTAGTAGTGGACTAGCCCTCTTTATTTTGTCCATAGCAGACACGTTTCATCTCCAATCATTAACAATCTTAAATCATTATTCCGATGATGGGCAGAGCCTAATTCTGTGGACGAGTAAATACACATAATAAATCTCTTGAAAATGGACACTCTCAGACAATATTTAACATATGCTATCGTGCTCCAAAGCTGACAGATAGTAGACGGAGGAAAAGACCAGTGCACTTTCCAGAGAGCAATGCTGTCAGCATGCTGCCTTGTAATTGGCCAACTGAATTGTATTGAGGACCCCTAATCATACACTGTCTGAAGTTCTCAAAAATCTTGTGGATGAAATTGAAGACTGAAGATTAAGCCATAAGATTTTATGGTTCAAATGTTAACATAAAATCCATCTCGAATCCTTTCATTTACTCTTGTTACCTTATTTTATTTCTAAAAGTAGGAGCTAAATTTTTAGGTGTATTTTAAGTAGACCTAGCCTTCATTGCCTAGCAGAGTTAGGACACAGGCACTCACAAGTCAGGAGTTGGTAAAATAAACAAGTTCTTCAGGTTCCATTATTTTTATGCAACTGCAAATTTTTTTTCTGATAAATTTGATTGAATATTTTGTTGAAATGTGTTGGCGCTAGTTCCAGGTGTGTTATGACAGGGTTTCTAAGAGCAATACAACTGTAGAAACAACATACTGTATTGCTTAAAGTTGATTTTAGTCATGTAATCGTAGGAAAGTCTCATAAATGTGGCTTCATTGTAGTTTGATTTCATGTGCAGTCATGAGATATGACGGTGCAACTCCACTGAATGTTGATAATTCAATTTTAATTGTAGATTCCTTTTTTTCCCTCAAACTAATTTTTTTTTTTTTTTTTTTTTTTTTTTTTTTTTTTTTTTTTTTTTTTTTTTTTTGACTGCAAGAAGCGAGATGAGAAGAAGTATCAGTTAATGTACATAAAGAGATTTTTTCTGCTGTAGTGAAAATACTCAGTGTAATGCATAGTCAACTTTGCTCTGATTATATGATCAACAACTTGTGTCAATTATCCTTTGATACTTGTAATTTGAAATTCGGATTCTCTGATAATTACTTTTAATCTGGCCATGATTGCAAAAAGAACCGCAACTGTTAAATTTTCGAAATTGAGTTTCCTTCTAAACTCGTCAAATCTCTTTTAGATAAAATCACTGAAACTGCTAAAATAGCAGATTTTGTCTTATTTTTATGGAAACGAGTCATCAATATGAAAAAGTTGCAAGTGCACAAAAAAATGACAATGTAGTAACTATAGTTTTATACAAGACAGCTGTAACCAGCACTCATCCTCCAGAGAGCCCATGAAAACAGAGCTTTTTTGTGAAATGCCTCTCTTTCCTGCCAATTTCTAACGTAATAATGTGTTGTTTGTGTGTCCAAAATGCAACCACTAATGCATGCAAAAGATAGCACTTACAGTTGTCTTGTCTAACATCATAGCCCAACATGAAAATGAATAATATTCTTTTTATGTAATTGAAATAAAATTTTTCGAAGCTACTGACATGAGCCTATTTTCTCAAAACTTTATTTTTGCTTTTATGGCTCTCTTTGCTATCATGGCAAAGTTGTCGTCCTCACCTCTTTTATTTAAAATCACTGTATTTTTTGAAGAGAGTCCTAACTTTGCATTTTCTTTGACTTTTCACAGACGCAAGCATGGACGCGAGGTACATTTAGTCAAGCAGAATCTAAAGTTGGATTCTTCACAATCCCAATCTGGACTGGGATACTCGTTGTTGGGATGTTGGCTCTGATCATGGTTTGGGGTCTAATCATGGTTCTAGATATCAAGACAATGGATCAGTTTGATGACCCAAAAGGAAAAACCATCTCAATCAATGCATCAGAGTAATTTTCTTCGGCCTTTCTCATTGGAAATAGCAAAGCATGGCTTCATCTTTATTTTTATTGTTCTTCAAAGGCTGTGTTCTAATTTAAAATCCAAAACCATTTTCATCATTACTCCCAATTTTTTTTTCTTTTTGTTTTTTTTCATCATCATTATTTTTAAAACTCTTAAAGAACATTAATCACAGTCACCATCTACATGAAGCCTACTTTTCAATCAAATCGGGAGTATCTTTGTTGAATATTTGTTAGGAATTTTAATTGTTACCCTAGTGGATATTTTTCAAGTTTTTTTTCTTCTTCTTTCCTTTTTCAACGAGGTAAATAAGTACTGTAAAAATTATGTGTAAATAGTACGTACTAACTTAAGGTCAAAATTTTGTCGGTACAATGTCCTGTGTCTTAATTGGTCCACTAAGTAAGCGTGAATCAGTTAGAAATTTTGATTTTCTCAACAGTAAACTAAAGACACTTTTAAAGTCCCTATTTTGAATAATTTTTGCATTCATGGTTATATCTTGTTCTCCTCACATCTGTTTGAAACTTTTCATTGAAACCTATTTTGGGGAGGCTTTCTGTTCTTATGATAGTTTTTCTTTTTTTCCTCCTAAAAAACTGCTGAGTGTTTTCACTCTCTGCTTGTTATCTTTTTTCAAAACTTACATAATTTTTTTTTTTCTTTCTTTTAAGAAAACGAAACCAAAAGAAGGTTTAACAGCATGTCCGAATTTGACACTCTTATTTTACGAGTAGAGTTCAGTTACAATAGGCTGATCAGTGATTAATTTTGGATTACCTGGTCAAAAACTAATCCAGATAATCTGGTGTGGAATGGAATCTAATTTTCATTCAAGAAAACAGCAACACAATAATGTACAGCATTCTGTTGCGTTAGAATAAAAATCAACAATGATTTGTTAGTAGCTCCTTTGAGCAAGGTTTAAGATTTTTCCGGGTTTTTTTTTCAGTGAATCCAATTTTAAGAGCAGTTTCTAACTTTTAAAAATAGGATAATATTATTTCTGTTATCGTTCCCAGCCTAGGTTTTAGTTATCTTTTTCATTCAATCAGAATTAATGATATTCAAAGCGGACATTAAAAAAAAGTGTAACTGTAGAAGAATCCATAGCAGTTAGAATGTGTTTAATTTTTGATAAGCATCAGAGACTTTGCTTTTCTCATTTGATTTTTGCAGTCAGTGTCTGATATTGTAAGCCAGCATAGCTAAAATTTTGATTAATATGTAAAGGAAATCATCCAGTTTTGAAAAATCAGTCGGCTTGAAACTTGATCAGAATAATTACTTCTCTATCAAAAGAGTTTAATCATGATCAATGTAGTACTTGTTAAACATTATAATGAATTACTTTGTTTTGAAGTTTAATCGAGATAAAAATGAACAAAAAACTATCAGGTATGTTTTTTTTATTTTAAGTTGCCTGGGCAAATAAGAAGGGTAATATCAAAAAAATCACAAGGCTGATTTTTTTCGGTCAAGACGAGCACCTAAACAATGTGTTTTCAGACCTGTATCCTTCGAAACAGAAAGGGCATGCGCATACATTCCTTTTGGACAAGCAAGTATTGGTACATGTACTTATTAAGATATCAGTAACCCTATTTTTATATTTTTAGCTACCCGATTTCTTTCATGTTGGCGTAAATAAATAAAATAAAAGTGCTCGTTAGAATATCACAGTAATGAAAGTATTTTCGGTTTTAAGAACTTTTTTCCAATACAGTGCTGCTAAAATTGAGCAAATGTATTTCATTGTTGTAATAGCTTAATTATTTTCTCTAAAATTAGTTTTCCAGAGAGTTTCTTAAAATTTGTATCACCTTTGAGAGAGAATATTTCCTGCACATGAATATTAATTTGAAAAAATATGCATATCAAATGTATATCAGGAGCTCCACAGTGTAGCAAGGCCCTTTATATGTAACATCCCATCATTTTTCTTGAAACGCAGGTTTTCTTCGGTACACAGGAGAAGTGAAATACTTCAAAAGATGGATTTCGTGATGGCATCTGACTTTCTAATTACTTTTTATATCTACACTAAGTCATAGTAAGGATTTGTTCAAAAGTTAATTTTATTTTTTCATTTGGTTCTCATTAAGCACTATTAAATATACAGATACCACTATCTGAATAAAACTTGAAATATTCAAGGCTATTATCTATAGGACAACTATTTGCAATTAGGAACTACAATTCCTGGTTCAGCTTTTAAAACCACATTCATACCATTCGTTTCAACATGCACATACATGTTTTTACCAATGAGCTGGGAATTGTAGTTTCTGATTGCAAAATGTAGTCCAATTAGGGTCTAGGAAATGCATCTGCTTTTTCAAATGTATTATATACTTTTTAGAATGTTGTAAAATGTCTTAACTTAAAGAGTTAGTTATACTTTCCCAGATTGAAATTCAACTTTAATAGCAGCTAAAGTGATGGCATTACCAAATTCCTACAACCATATAAGAAGAGCATCTGCATGTGTTTGGTTAGAATTAAAATCAAACCTTACCCTTTTATCCACGATTTCCTCCGTTTTCATTCCCTTATTACACTAACCTATCAAATCATTTTGGATTTTTGTGATGAATGTTTACACTTTTCGAAGTTTCTGACGTTCTGTAAATAATGGCAAAATGATTTCTTTTAATTCAACCCAAGTGCTGAAAGTCACTTTTTTATGTGTGCACTATTAGAAATACTTTTCATCAAATTTCTTAAGTTTAAGTTTTTCTGTTGCTATGATTTTCCTACAGTCAATGCGTTTTCATATTAAGCTTGTGAATTTCGTAAAAATATAATTCTCATTCAATTTGTCACTCTTCTGATGTAAGAACATATCTCAAATTCCACCTGAGCCCTGTTGCCCATAAAATTCTATTTCTTTTAGGGCTCACGTAGAACAGATACGCCCTTATGTCAGAAGAGCGAATAATTGTTCCCTCATCCTTCTATGTATCATATATTTCATTAGGAGTTGATATTTTCTGTGGTAATTCTTTTTTGTTCACTTGTTTAATCATAATTTTCAACCCTCCATTCTATGCACTGTGCAAATGAAGCAACCTCCTAATTCATATACCTAAATTTCTGCCCAAAAAGTCCTCGTATGGAAATATTTTCAATGACAGACGTTTGACGCATAACGTGATTTCAAGTTACATATTAACCACATCATTCCACACTTTCAGTCAGTGATAAAATTTAGTAGTAGGACCTACTCAAATAATCTAGAGTCCTCATAGGTAATGCTTTTTTCACTGGTGAAGAATCAGCAGAAAAAAGTTTTGCAAAGTAAATATAATTTTTTTTTTTCATAGAAAAATTATTTTATAGTCAGTAATATTTTTTTTCTTCTTTTTTTTTTGTAAATTTTCATTAACAACTTTCGTATGTAGGTACCCACTCCTAAAAATGTTTTTGGTTTTAAGTACATATTTTGTAAATGTGTTGCATTTAAGATCAGTAATACACAATTTTGTTGTTACATTTGATGGTTAACTTTAATTTGTCTTTGGCAATGATTCCAACCCACTTCTTGCTTCTTTTTCTTCTTGGAGGCAGAAAAATATTGATTTATTCATGAATAAATGTATTCTAGCTCCCCAGGCTTCATTATCAGTAACACCCGGCCAAAATTGCATAACGCTTAAAAGAAAAATCTCCTTGTAGCTCAGAAAACTGTTCCTGCTTGTTGGATTTTTGTTCTTGAGGCTCTAAGAAATATTTTATGAAAACTCTTGAGTTTGAATCTCCGCAGAGTAACTACTTCTCCCCCTGAAATGCTGATTCGCCCCAGGTCATGTCTTCAGTTTTGATTCTCCAGCTGTAACCAAATAATGATGCAATAAGTAAGATTGTCCAATTTTTTCAAGGTGAAATCGATCTTTTTGTGGTGATAGCTCTGGCAAAATCGAGCCACATGCTTCTGTTATTTCACCTTCACTATCAAATAATTATGATTTGCTGTCCAATAAATTGGAAAAGAAACTTTTTCACCTTCCTCTTCCTTGTAAAAAATATATCCATGAAAAAAGAAGGGGAAAAAATGTCTCCTGAAATGTTGATAGAATAATAAGTCACATGAGGGGCATGGAGGACAAGGCGCATAAGTGCACTTTTTGCTTATTCGAGAAATACAAGTTTGAAGTTTCGAAATTACATAGATCCTTATGGCAGAAAGAAAGTTCAAATTGATTTTTTGATCATTCAAAATTGGAATGCGGAAGCGAATATTTGGTGCATGCGAAAATATGTTTTACTTGAAATCATCAATATCAAATATCTTAATTTTTTAAAAAAACTGCACTTATGCGCCTTGTCCTCCATAAGTCCCTCTAAGATAGTTATTGCTTATCTCATCAAAAATTATTTAAATTTACCGAGTTGGATAAACATTTCTATTAATGTTTACGAATGGCTGGCTTTATACATAGACCGTCTAGGTCACAAACAACCTAGAGCAGAAGATCTTGGGGCGACAATAAGAATAGGTGGAGAAAAACGATGAAAGGAGGTAAAGCGCTGCCGCTAACAATGTGCCACCGTTCAATGGATCGAGTCAATAGGAGAGATCGGACAAAATTTGGAAACTTTAAACGCTTTTAACTACTTTATACAAAACTTGGAGGTTCTAAAAGTGGTTTCATTGGTTTCCTCATGAAATTTTCTGTTTGTAGGTAAAAATGTGACGAAATAAACATCAAAATTTGCAGTTATAGTCAAAAATTTCATGTCCGACTTCTCTAATTTACTCGATTCACTGTGCGCCGGTACGCTAGGCGGCGGGGCAACTTGGCGATTCAGTCCAGGAGAATCAGATGCAAGATGATAAAGACCACAAAATAGTTGATGAAAAAGTCTGAAATTACTCATAACAAAATGTGCTGAGTACGTAATTTACGAATGGCATCCCCTCTCCCCCGCCCCCTCCCCCCATCGACAAGTCGTTGGGGTAGCTAAATTTTGACGGCATACATCGGACGGAAACGAGGTAGATCCGGCCAATGCCCGTCCGATTTCCTTATTCAAGGCGGATCCGAGACTAATGCCTAAAATCCTAAATTCATGAACGCTAATAATTTGAAACAGAAGATGAACAGCTAAGATTTTCCTTCACTTTCGCAAGATACCACATCACATACATACACCGGAGTCCGAATAATCGACTTCAGACTTCAGAGTTCAGATACCAAAATATCACAAGAAAAAGACTCAACATTCTGGGCTCTAGATATTCACTAGGGAAAGGGTTCGGTCGTTTTTCTCTAGCTTTCATAGATCCATGCAATGCCAAATTTGCCAATATTTCGGGTGTGCCGCTGCTTTCACAGAGAAAAGTGCATATTTAATTTTTTTTTTTTTTTGCGTAAAGTTACCTTTGAGATTACTCTCTTATAATTCTTGGAGAGCTCTGAAGATTTCAATAATAATGTAAGTCTGATAAATCATTCAGAACGACCCCTAAACATTGTAGTCCTTTTGCAGCGCCCTCCCCCGCCCCCTTCCAATATCAAGGGCTTCGTCTAATGTGTCGAGGTCTCCTCTTCTAGTGGGATTTTTTAGAGGATGTAAAATTAATTGCCCATTTTTGTCCTCTCCTTGGGCTGTTTAAATATTAAGTTGGCTGCTGCTGCTAAGGAGGGATAGGGTCAGAGCTTTCCTCCGAGAGCGGGGGGGGGGGGGGGGGGCGAAGCCTAGTCTTGCCTTGCGTCATGCTTCCCACTTATAAAAGAAAAATACAAGAAAAATAATGACTAGGTGAGCAAATTCAAATGCAAATCATATTTTTATGCTAATTATCAGATTTTTCTCTGGCATATTCTAAAATATTGGTGGGAGAAGGGGGGGGGGGGGGGGGGGTCAGGCCAGTCTTACATACTTCAAAAGTGGAGGGAGGGGGTTAAAAAGGGGGCTCGTATGCCTTTCGTAATATTATTTGAACGGCCCAGGGAATAAGCACATGTTAGTATGATCGCAATATTTATCCGGCCAGAGTGCGAAGTCAAGTATCTCCCTCGCGGTGTTTCAAAATTTCCGTTATTAATTAATTATTGCCAAGAGAAACAAATCAACTTCCCAGCCTGAAAGCCCTACAGAATAGGGAAATCAAGGTAATTTTCAAGAAAGTACGTCGACATTTCACAGAGGGAATAAAATATGACAGGAAGCTTGCAACGTCGTAAACGGAGATACGTGGTTTTGAAAAATAACAATGAAGTGATGCATTTTTCGGCTGTACATTTAGACCGCCACTGATATGTATGTCTTGTGAATTAATATCCCATCAGTCTGTGAGTTTCATTGTTCAATTTCATACATGTTTTTTTCCCGAGAGAAAATCTACGATGAAACTCAGATTTAGATTTCCACCACCGGATGTATCATTCTTGATCAGTGGAGAGGAAGCAGAATGAGGGGCAAAAGTTATCTTTCTCTCTCTCAACCCTCCCCCTCCACCTGTTGTTGCCCGCTTTCCGCCAGGCAACGCTCTCTCTCCCTCTCCCATGCTCCGCGACAGTCCGCGTCTTGTCCTTGTCTTCAGTCTCCTCTCTGCTCAACGCTTCGCCGTCAGTTCTTCGAGAGTTTTCGCACAAGTGCATACGGGCCATTCGACATTCGTCTAGTCGCCTAACGTTTCACTTTTCTGGCATGCACTATATTTTCATCTCGTGATGAATTTTAAGCACATCTCTCGACCTGAAGTTTCGCGTGCGAGTTTTTTCCGCCGTTTACTCACAGTGTCGCGTTTCGGGAATCGTGGAGCCGGCCGGTTTAGGCTTCGGTTTTCTTTCTTTCGACCAACGCGTTTTGTGCCTCGGTGAATGTGACTAGTGTCAAGTTTGAGAGTTTCGCCCTCATTCTCTCACTGTGAAATGAACTGAAAGTGCGTATATAATCTCGTCTTTCCGTGTACGATTCGTGTGGAAATGCTCGCGAATGTTTTCGGGACTCGAAAGACATTGGATTTACCTGTCGTGATTGTTTTGTTGCTCACTACGCTGGAAAACTTGGCCTCTCACCTGTGTTACGATTTGGTTTGGTGGTTCTGGGATCAAGGTTTGAGATACCTACATTAACCATTTACTATTCTGATCTAAATTCTGCCCATCTATTGATTGATTCATTTTTCAATTATGTCTCGGCGAATTTTATCCAAGTAGGCCTAAGACTTAGGTACCTAATCATGTTTGATCTCATTTCATCTCTTCTTTCTTTTTTCTTCCTTCTGTCTCTCTACGTAGTTTCCAATCGAAAATTTAGGTAATGCAGTATGCAGTTGCCTAAATTAGTCAGGCAGTTACCTACTAAAGTGGTCGAAATTCATATTTTCTTAACTAGGTTAATATTTAAACGCATGCTGTGGATGATATTTCATTTTTAAAATTCCTTCCTAGCCCTTTCAGCCATTAGATAGAATCATCATTTTTGCAGTGAGGAGAACCTCATGAAATATTTTTGAGCAATTGAAGTTGATCATAAGGTATCAACTTCTTAAACTTCCATTGGCTTCAAATTTTTCTTACGGGGGTTCTTTTCGAAGGAGATGTATTCAAGACTGTGCGTGGGTTTTTCTAGAGAATCAGGTGAAATTCACGTCTTGGCAGTCCCTTTTCATTCAGCAAATATCAAGAAAAGTGTCGGAAAAATGGTTGAATCCCTTGGATGAATATATTTGTCGTTGAAAACTCAATGTTCCGTGAAAATTATTTCGAATTGTAAGACTGTGCGTGGGTTTTTCTAGAGAATCAGGTGAAATTCACGTCTTGGCAGTCCCTTTTCATTCAGCAAATATCAAGAAAAGTGTCGGAAAAATGGTTGAATCCCTTGGATGAATACAATTGTCGTTGAAAACTCAATATTCCGCGAAAATTATTTCGAATTGTGTCTTCTCAAGTATCCCGCCCATTCCAATTTTTTAGGATACTTCACCATCTGTCACGGAAATTTCAGGGCATAACATTTTTCATATCCTGTGGCTATTCGTTCACGAGAAATTTCAAGAACATGTACCTATGGTTTATAGTCAGTGTTCTTTCAGTCCCAATAAACCATAATTGTAATTTTTGAACATCGCAGTGGAAAAACATATTCAATATTCGACCTCATAGTAATTGATGAGAAGTCATAGAAAATTCCTGTAACCATGTTCAAGTTAAGACCTAGACCAATTCGATCAGAGTCAGAGTTAATCAGGGGGGAGAGAGAGAGACCGAGCTGATCAATCCAAGATCAAGGAAGTTTCCCGCCTAATTCGGATGGAAGGCTCATGAGCAGAATCGCGAAGGTTTTCGAGCGTTTTGATTGACACTATCTTGCAAGTGCGAAGGAAATGAGGTGGCGACGACAGGGTGCAAGCGGCGCGGCGAGCCTTTGTCTCGCTCACGTAACCAAGAAGGCACCGGATGTCTGTGTTTCTGTGTCTGGCTGTCTGGTCTGGTGGTCTAGCAGGTAGATAAGCACCCTTTTTCTCGGAAAATAGGCCCGCC